CCTGTCGGGGGATGTGCCCGACCTGATTTCTCGCGTCGTGCACATTCGTGTTCCGAGTTTTTGCAGCAGTTTCACGGGCGGACGGCGGGTCTCTTTTCAAGTGGGTGGCCCCCGCGCCAGCGCCGCGCACTGTCGTCTCGAAGGATTGGTGCGGTTCCACGGATGGTGGGCGGGCCGTGTTCGCAATGTCTTTGTGAGCCCAACGCCGCGCGCATTCGTTTCTGAAGTGGCAAGAGCTTCACGGACGGAGGGCGGCCTTTTCTGAACATGTATTCTCGCGTCAGCGCCGCGCTCGCTCGTCTTAAACTTGTGCAAGAGCTTCGCGGATGGAAAGCGGGTCTTGTTCAATATGTGTTTTTCGCTCAGCGCCTGCGCACGTCTTACAAGTTTGAAAGGGCTTCGCGGATGTAGGGCGGGTCTTTTTCAAAGTGCAATTCTCGCGCTGCGCCGCGCGCGTGCGTTTCAACAGTGTTGACGGAAGGTTCACGGATCGAGGGCGGGTCTAGATTACATTGTGGTCCTCGCGCTAGTGCCACGCGAATCACTTTTTCAACTTTGCATGTTGTTCACGTTTGGAGGGCGAGTATCTCTTGCGCTCGCGTGCGCAAAACAGAAACAATTCAAGAATGGCCCTCCACGGTTCTGGAGTGGATTTGGGAACGCAAGTTGCCCCACCCGCATCCTCAGGGCATCAGCTTGGCGCAATGTATTGCGAAGTGAAAGAAAATCCACATCATTCGCGCACATGCGCACGCTGCCACCTTCGCAATGGTCATCTGAATTCCGAGCGCTCATTGGTGACAGATTGCATTTCCAATCGCTTTCTGCGGGTCACACTGCGGAATGCATCGCTGCGAGGTAACACGCGTTCCTCATTGCTCGCGCGCGCGTGCGTTTCCGCGCGCGCAATGCAACGGCCAATCGAGCATGACCACCCCCACTGCGAACGCGGAGTGGTGAACGCAAGTCGGTCCATCCTTCTTCTGCGGGGCCCAACGTTGAATGATGCGTTGCGGGGCGACGCGCGCTCTTCATTGTTCGCGCGCGCTCGCGCGCGGGCGCGACTGCGGTTGCGTCGTCGCGCGCGCGCCCACGTCGCCGCCGCCCCCCCCCCCCCGACCAGAACGCGAGTGGGGCGATTGTTTTCCGCCCAGATTCGAACTGTTCACTCCTGCTCGTTTGCATTGCGCGCCTGGGGGCGCGCGCGCGCGCGTTCGCGCGGGAGCAATGAGAGGGGGGGGGGGGGGGGGCGCCTGTTGTCGCAGCGACAGGTTCCACGCTGGGGCCCGCAGAACACATGCGACAAATGGGGGCCGTCAGCATTCGGCGTTCGAAGGCGCGAGGGCCAGTCGCGACGCGCGTTTTGTCTCTCGCGCGCGCGCCAGGGCAACGAGGGCAGCGCGCTGCGTCGTAGCGCGGCGTTCCACGTCGAGGCCCTCGGAAATCCATTGAAGCAGTTGGCTTCCACCATTCGGCTTGCCAAGCGAAGGTGGCAATTATTTACGCGCGTCGGTCTTGCGCGCGCGCGACGCGCGCGCGTGCGCGTGCGATCAATGAGGAACGCGCATCATGACACTAATAATCATGTCACGTTGTCTTTATTCAGTTTTTCGAATGTAAGATGGCCACCCCCAGCGGGCGTTGCACCGCGCGCGCGCGGGCGGGCAGTAAGGGGCGCGCGCTGCGATGCAGCGCAGCATTCCATGCTGGCGCGTTCGAAAAGTGACGCGCGCGGTGTGAACCTTTCCGCTGTTGAAATAGAAATGACCATTTTCGATTCGTTTTGCAGCGCGCGCGAGCAATACATAGAGACTGCACCGTGCCACAATTGATCATTACATGATGGGCTTGAACAGTGCTTGTGAGCGAATTTGTTTCCACCTTTCAGTCGTCGCGTTTCAGTGCGTCGTCTCCGATTGAGCTTTGTATAGCGCGCGCGAAAGCGCTCGACAAGAAGCAGTCTCTGTTCCGCACTATTCAGTTCCATGATGTGGCCTTCAGAAAACTAGCGGAGCCGTGGGTCTTCACATTTCAGTTTTCCACGCGTAGGTGGCCCTCCGCGATTGCAAATTGTTCTGCGCGCGCGGAGTGAGAAACGCGGCGCGCTGTGTTGCAGCGCGCCGCATCCCATTGCGTCACAGTGCGCGATATCACGCCGCGCGCCCGAGTGCTCGCCGCCGGTGGAGCTCGGTGCTTTCAGACTCGTCAGTAATTCGCAACGACGACGCCGACGTCGGCGACCTGGGGACAGCAGGCAGTGGAACTGAAGCCAGGGGTGCCATGCGAACGGGGGCTATCGACCACCCACTCGCGCGCTGCCTCGATTGAACGTCCAGCCCGCGACAGCGACGCGCTGGCGGGCGCGCCCCGTCCGGGCGCCGCCCTCCCCTGCAACGGTGCGAGTCCCAGCGCCAAGGGGCGACGGCACTGGCCAGCGCGCGCCGCTGACGCGTTTGCTTGCAAGCAGCTGGACACCAGGCCTGGCCCCGAGAAACGGCGACCCCCCTGCCCCCTCGCCGCCCGCAAGGCGCGCCAGGCGACGTCGACGGCGACAGGCGACAGACGACGGGCGACAGGCGACAGGCGACAGACGACGGGCGGCGAGCACGGCTGCAGCAGAAGCAGCAGCGCTTGGAACCAGCGAGCCGTCGCGCGCGACGAGGGCGGGCGGCGCGCCGCCCGCTGGCGACCTGAACCCCTGGGCCCCGGCGCGGGAAAACAAGTTGCACAACGTCGAGGTCGAAGGCGCGCAGCGGGGCGTTTGCGGGGGGCCCCTGGGCAGAAAGATCAAGCGACTCCAAGTCGCCGTCGGAGCGATGTTCACGGGCGCCCGGCACGCGTTCGTCCAAAGCGCGCCTCGCCTGAGTCCGCGACCAGCAAGCGCGCGTCAGCTTCTTGGACTCCGTCCGCCACCGCAAAGGGGGCGCGCGGTCCGTGGGCGACGCGCCGCGCCTCGGGGCCGATTGGAAACAGCTGCGCGAGCGGTGCCTGCGGCGCGGCGCTGGCGCGAGCAAGGAGGGCGATGCCCCGTCAGTTCCTAGGTCGGCTGGCGCTGCCCGCAGTCGCAGCAGCAATCCCGCGGCGGAACCGTCGCTCTGAAGCTTGTTTCACAGCTTGCTGCCGCCCCACGGGCAGCCCGGCACGGGCTGCCCCTGGTCGCGCTGCAGCTCCTTGCCCACGAGAAGTGGCCGCTCTTCCTGCTCAGCATTCGCAGTCAGTCTGCCTGCGCTCGCCACCGCCTGGGGGGCCTCTGACCTGCCCGCTGGAAGGCGCGGGGCGCCGCGGCCTGGCAGGCCCCGCCCCCTCCTTGCACGGCTGCTCTTCACCGAGTTGTCTCTGCCCGACTACGTTTTACAATCTGTGAACCTGGAGGCCGCTTGTCTCCTCGGCGTTCGCTTGGCGCGACTTCCTCGCGTTGCCCGCGCCGGCCTCTCGGCGTCGTTAACGCTGCCCCTGCGGGGCGGCCTGCTCGTTTCTCTATGTCTGACGGCCGCGGGGTTTCATGGGCTTCAAGTTCGACAAGCTTGCCTTGGGAGCAAATAGAACGACATTATATATAAGTACATATATATATATAGATATATAACTCTCTCTCTCTCTCATTTTGGCTGCCGCGTGGTTGCTGGGAGTTCGTGGCTGCCGGCTCCGTCGAGGGTTCTCATTTGGCATGTGCGTCCTGGGAGGGCCGCGTTGCTGACTCATGGGCGCGGTCGCTCTGGCCCTTCTTGGGCGCCGTCTTCGGCACGTGCGTCCTGGGGTGGTCCACTGGTCCACTGCCGACTTCGCATGCGCGCGGTCACTCACTCGCACCATTTGCATCCCAATTGGTACCTGTGTGGGCGTGACCTCGGTGCTGGTCTGCGATGCCTCCCGCGCCATCTTGGCTGCGCTGAGCCCAGCTTCTGAACTGGGCGCCGCTATCCTCATTGTTCTTCTTTTGTTTCGGCTGGCCCGCCCAAGCATTGCCCGGCTTTTCGACTTGTTCCGCGAGCTCGCGTACCAAAACAATCCCCCACCGGCCGATTCTGAGACCCTGACTCTTGAGAGGTGACGGGAAAAACGACGAAGAGACACATCTAGAGAAACGAAATGAACAACCTGGATGAACAGAGAATTCTCAAGGGCTCATTTTGGGGGTCTTTGAGTTTTCTTGGGTTTTTTTTGGGGGGGGTCTCGGAGCGCGTTTGGGGCCCTCTTGGGGCTCTTTGGGATTCTCTTGGGGGTTCTCTTGGGGGCCCCTTGGGAGCCGTGGAGGGCCTCTTGGGGCTGACGTGGAGGCCGTCGGTGAAAAGAGGGGGGCACTAGCGTTTAGTCCCCCTTTCTGGGCCATCACAATCACGTTTTGGCTCGATATTGGGCCACTCTTGGGGCGTTTGGGTGGTCTCAGGGCCGTCATTGGGGCATCTTGGTCCCATCTTGGAGCTTTTTTGGGCCACTCTGGGGCCACATTGACGCTTCAAACACTCATCTGACGCTCAGCTGACGCGAAAAAGCGAGAAGGCAACGATCATAGATTTACTTTTTGTTTTTCAAAGATTGTGTTTTTTTCGGTGAGATTTTGAGGGGTATTCGAAGGCACCTGGAACCGTCTTGTGACCCGTCCCGCGGCGTCTTGGAGGCATGGTGGAGGTCATCATGAGCGATCTTGCGTTATTGGGAGCCCGCTTGGAGGCCATCTGGAGCATCGGATGCCCTCCTGGAGTTATCTTGAGCGAGACTGGGCCCTCCTTGAGGATTCGCGACCCCGTCCAAACCCCCCCGGGAAAGGGGAGAGGGTACCCCTCCCCGATGGGAGGCAGGGTATTGGAAGCGGAACTCATGACATCGTTGGACCACCTACGCCAAGAGGGCTGGTGGGATGTATAGGCGAACGCCCTCCACTGGATTATTCCTGGGCCTCAAGGGAGGGCGTCGGTGTATAAGTCACCACTGGGAGCCAGCGGCAAACTTCGTCGGCGGGTGTGTGTGTGTGTGAGTAAATGTGTTCGTGCTGTATGCAGGTATTCGGGGTCTTTGAAGCAGAAGCTCACCTCGAGCTCCGCAGTGTTCCTGTTGTCCGACGTCGGGGTGCCGGGCGCGAGCCCCGTGTACGAGCACTACCACGCCGGCCTTCAGCACGGCGTCCAGGTGCTGCGCATCTCCGTGGAGGATGCCGGGGAGAAGCTGCAGTGGGCTCGCAACCACGACTCGGAGGTGCAGAATCTCGTGCGCCGCGCCAACGAGTACATGGAGGGGTTCGAGGAGCGTACGCAGTGTTACCTGTGGAAGCTGCTGGACGGGTACGGACGCCTGTTGCGATACCAGCCTTCGGTTGATCAGAACATGCTCTTCGGTGGAGAAGCCGCGTCTATCCGTTCGCTGCGCGTGCAGCGGAGACCTCTCAGAGAAGAGTCTGCCAAGTTTATCGCCCGGTGCTCGGAGATGATCGAGGAGTACTCTCAATAAAACTGGGGCCTCTGGCATGGGCGAGCACACGCTGGCATGCAGGGCACGTGCGTCAACCTGCACGAGTTCGTCTTGCGTTTGCACGGTCAGTTATGGAGGCACGAGGTGCAAGTCCGAGCGCGTGCGTCAGGATCAAGGGGGGACACATCGCCATCAATTCACAGTTCGCCCATTGATCGCCGATAGGGGCCCGATAGCCCACCCCGCCCAGGAACGTTCGGATTCGCTATCGGGGGCCTATCGCAGATCATTCGGCGATGTATCGCTAAATCCAGGTAGATGTTTCCCCCCCCGAGCCAGTCCCCACCAATCATTGCTTTGTCAAATATGCACAAAGCGTCCTGAGCCTGCACGATGAGTTATGGAGGCACCGCGCACGAGTCCGAGTCCGTCCTGAGCCTGCACGATAAGTTATGACGTGATCAATGAGGGCTGACCTCGAGGTGCGCAGCTGCCTGGGCTTTCTGGAGGCGAGCAAGGACTTGACGGCTGAGACCGTGCTTTCGAGAAGCCCACGCGCATTAGCCCCGATATGGCAGGTTCGCGTCGTGCCGACGCGGCGGTGACCCCCGGCGACGCGGCGGCGACCCCGCCGCGGGCAATCGAGGTTGAATGCGGTCAGTGTCCCAGGATCCACCACCGTGCAACGATCTGGCGATTGGAAGACCGCCGATCATCCAGGGTCGAGCGATCCACGCGGCGTCAGAAACCAATGCCAGAGTCGTCACGGTACGAATTTGCCGTAGTGTTATGGTCGGGGACCTCCCTCCAGGGAGGAAATCCCTGGGGGAATAAAAGTACTCAAAAAGATATCACCGGGAACGTTTGTTGCCAAAAAGCAAAAGATGTAGCGGGGAGATCCCTCAAAACAAAACCATGATGTCGCATTTTGCATTGCCTTGCATTGCATGTGCATGAGTAGACCACAGCGGTGGTACAATCTCGTCTGGGGGCCTTCGCGTCATCATAGGGAAACCCCCATTCGATGACCAACCTTTGGGGGTCCCCACCGCCTCCTCCCCCCCATCCTCCCTCGTTGCAATTTGGCTTCGAAATCGCTTTCGAGGGCCAGGCCCTTCGTGCGACATCTCCGTGCGAGATGGCCTCGGCGGCGCCCTCGCGCCGCAGGCGAGGGCGGCCTTCCTTGCTGGACCGCCTCGCTGAGGCTGGCTTTGCCGCTGCCGAGGCCCGCCACGGCGTCGGCGGCCCGCCTGCTGCAGGCGCCGTGGTGCCCGTTGGGCCGCCGCCGCGGCCGCCAGCACAGGCGCCAGTGCGGCCCCAGGGCGTGCCGCAGAGTGTGTTGGCGGCGCTGGCGCCCTCGAGAGCCGCTCGCATGCCTCCCCATCCGTTTGAAAGACGGTCGCTCGGCACTGCTGTTGTTGCTATAGCTGCTATCAGCGGCGTCGGCCTCGCCCCTGCGATCCTGGAGGCTGCTGACAGGTTCTGGACCAGCAGCTCGTCGTGGGCCTGCATGACGGCCGCGGCGAGAGTGGAGTGCATGGGGCCCGAGCCGATGCCGTGCATGGAGAGGCGGCTCGCCGCAGCTGCCGAGGCCGCCGAGAGGCACATGTGTTCGGACTTGCAGGTCCCTGGGCCGAAATGCGTGGAAGTATCCTCTCCATCCCCCCTCTAGCCCTAACCCCTTAGTTCCACTCCTCACCATCTTCCTCCTTTCCTCCTCCTCCTCCTCCTCCTCCTCCTCCTTCTTCTCCTCCTCCTCCTCCTCGCCACCCCCCTCACCATCCTACTTACGAGGTTTTCGGCACTTTTGGCCAGGGACCCTAGGGTCTGAACACGCGTGCCTCTTGCCAGGGCCACTTTCGGCAGCTGCCTGCAGATGTGGTGCCCCTGGTGCTCGTGGAGTCTGTGCGCTACGATGAGGCCACCACTCTGATGGCAGTGCGGCAGGGTGACGATGCCGTGCCAGAGTTCATATCAGGTCCTGGTCGATGCAGACGTGCTTCGGGCTCTTCCATCGTGGAGTCGGTGCCCGCGAAGTTGTTCCAGAGCACCGCCGCAGTTGGTTCGCTGCTGAAGCGTTCTCGGCCTGGCCATGCTGATGAATACGTATTCTGCTCTGTTGATCTGGCAAGTGTGCCTCAAGTCGTCCAGCGGACGACGACAAAGTGCCTCGCCCTCGCTTTGAATGTATCATCGTTTGTTTCTTGGCCTGCGAACAGACAGTTTCGATTCAGAGTACGTTTGATATGTTCAGATCGATTCGCTGCCCAGTTTGCTGCAGAGACAACTCTTGAACATATTTCGGGTGAATACTGTAAGTTGCACCTTGGCTGTTCAATTCACATGTGCGTAGCTTCTTTATGCAAGGGGCTTGATCTCGTTGATGACGGCATCTCTGGAATGATACACGTTGCGAAAGCTTTGCGTTTGGGCGGATGGATGCGTGTTTTTCGGAAAGCTCTCAAAGATGTTGTGCTGGAGACTCTTGAAGTCAAGGTTGGCCAGAGCAGTGCAGACGCTAGAATCCATCGGAGGCTTTGTTGCACCGTGTTCGCAGGTAACCCTTGTCGTGCTCGAGAACTTCGGTCCGTTTTGAAGTTCTTGCCAAACGGGGATTGGCGCAAGCAGGACGTCGTGGAGGTTTTTGTGGGCGACGAGGCTGCACTTGATCAGAAGGATCGTATCGCGTCTTTGATTTCTGGTGCACTCGTTCGCACGTTGGCCAAATCAGTGTTCACAATATGGAACCGAAAGAGGTGGACAAAGAATGACGATTGCATTTGCAGGATGGGCCTTATCGAGAGTTGCCATGGCCTCTTGAGCCGCACGTTCTTCAGATTTCTCGATATGGTTGGTCATAAACGCAAGGGTCATCGTGGTCGCGATTCGGTGCCTGCAGCTGTTTGTGCCCTGGTGCCTGCCATTGAGGATGGCGACGTTCTGGTACCTGCCATTGAGGGCGGGGACGTTCTGGACGGCGAGGCTGGCGATCAGGCCGGCTGCGGCGAGGAGGGCGCGCACGAGCACGACAAACAAGATGCAGAGGAGTCAGATTTTGTTAAAGAGAATCGCATTTCCCGTGATCTGGCGGACGGTTGGCTCAGTCGTCATCCGATGCGCGACCTCGTCTTTATTCGTCTTGTGATGGAGCCGTGCACTGCGCTCCTCAAGCGCCAGCTTGCCCTTGGCAGCGACAAGTTCGACCAGGATGAGTGGCAGAAGTTATTGGCTCCTGGAGCTGGCGCCGCTGCGCCTACGCGAAAGCTTCGCGTTGTAGTCGCTGCCTCTGGCGAGCTGGACATGCAGTTCTTCGAGCACCAGCGTGCGCTGCTGACGTCCTCTCGCCTGTGGGAGCTCTTGCCGATTGAGGCGGTGACCGAGGCGAGCAGGTGCCTTGCCTTCAGAGCTGTCAGTATGATTTCAGCCGAATACGAGCGACTTATAGCGAGGCCGCATCGCAAGGCGCCTTTCCTATTGTTTGCGTGTCTGTCATCAGACTCGGTCGCCGCAGACCTGAAGCGCATCAAGAGGACCAAGCCTTGCTGCCTGGACAGGTTCACCGTGGCTTTCATGGACGCGTTCGACGTCGAGAGTGCGGATGGTCGCGCGGCACTCCTGATGATCGCCATGCTGTCGCACGTGGACACGGCTCATGTGGAGTGCATGCACGCCTTCGTGAGGAGGATCGTCACACGACTTGGGGCCCAGTCGAAGCGTCCAGACTTCCTCGACGTGTCGTCCAGATGCATCGCTCGGCGTATCAGGCGCAGGAGAGAGCTGTATGGGCGCTGGTTGGGCCAAGAGCCATCTGATCAGCCGGAGGCCGATGGCGATGGCGACGCTGGCGAGCCGCGGTGCAAGCGCAGGGCAATTGTTAGCGAGTGGCACGCTTTCTGCAGCAGGATTGCAAAGCCTGGGCATGGCATGAAATGGCACTCCAATCTTTCGCAGATGTATGCTGATCGATCGGCTGCCGAGTGTACCGAGGATCGTGCTGCTCTTCAACGTGCTATCGACAGCGGTCGGCCAGGGGCGGGTGCGTTTGGCCCGAGGGCCCGAGAGCGGGAGCGCGATCGCATCAAAGGTCTTGCTCGTGCAGTGTGCGCTCAGGCTGTCCACCGTGGCGAGTGCAACGTCATGGCACCCGAGCTCCCTTTGGCCCCTGGCGGCGACAGTGACGGTGCAGCTACTACCACGTATGCCGATACGCTGCGAGTGGCCAGGTGCGCCAGCAGGATGTTGGGAGCACAGCGCCGTGCAGCAGAAGAGCAGCGTTCTTCATTGATCACCGCGTATGCCACTGGAGTCGGCAAGGCGGTCGCCACTCAGGCATGCGCAGATGTTGGACTTTCATCCTGGGTTGATCGCTGTTGCAGCGCGCCGCTGCAGCCTCCTGCTGGCATCGGCGTGGCCCGACACTTGCACCTCGTACCAGACGCCGCGGGAGTCTCGCAGCGGGCGCTGGCGCAGGAGGCCATCCCGCCGCGCTTCCTCCAGAAGCTGGACGAGTACAGCGCGCAGCTCGGGAAGCCGATCCTCGACGAGGACTGGCCCCACACCACGTGCAAGGGCAATGAGAAGGAGACCAAGTGCTTCTTGGCTGGCACGTGCGTCTGCGCCCGCGAGGGCCATCGGCTACGCAAGAGAACTGGCCGATTCATCGCGGCGCTGAAGACCTTGTGCGTTCCGAAGTCTTCCGAGCGGGAGCTCGCTCGGACTGGATTCTTGGTCATCCGATTGATCGGCCGCCCTGTGCAGCGCAGCGTGGCTGCCGAGTGGTTCGGCGATGACGACGTGGACGACGTCTTGATCGATGATGGCTCGGGCGTTGAAGTGATTTATTGGCGCTTGTCTGAGCTGGTCTTGAGCCCTGATGTGCCAGTCTTCCAGCACATGGTCGTGAACCCTGATGTGCCAGTCTTCGGCGGCGGCGAGGCGGCGCTCAAGGCAGTGGGCGTTGGGGCAACTCCTTTCGCTATCTCCTCCTCCCTCCCTCCCCCTCCCCTCCTTTTCCTTCCCCTCCTTCTTCCGCCGACTTC